CAAAGGGGATTATTATGCTTGGGGCGTGTGTCTGTGAAGAGCTTCCCTGGAGATCACACTGCCTGCCCTTTATTACCATCACCAACCAACACTAGGACCATTAGCATCATCCTCGTCGTCATCATCATCCTCACCATCACCAAAGCATGCATCTTTTGAGCTCTTACCATGAACCATCTACTGATCTAAATTATAAATGGGTCTAAAAACTCATAGCAATCCCATGAAGTCAGTGCCATTCTTTCCCCAGTTTTCAGATGAGGGGTCAAGTCTCAGAGAGGTTAAGTAACACACTAAGGTCACATAGCTACTAGGTGGTGGAGACTTCATTCAGATCCAGGAAGCCTGCCCTTGGCTATGGTGCTTTACAGATGCCAAGTCTCAGATTCTGTCAGCAGGGTGACAGAGCCATAATTATGCCATTGTTTTGGCTCATTTCCTTGAAGGAAATAAGAATGCTTCTGTTACAGGAACTATTTCTGAGAACTTGTACTATGAAGGGTGACCCAAGGAGGGGAAGTTCTGTAGTATCTCTAACTTGAAACTTGAGATCCCTGACAAATTTAATGGCCTAGAATCAGCAAAGAAGCTTAACCTACTCTCTACCCTTCCCCAAACCACTTCACTTATGAGGAAGAGAAGAGAAATAGTCTGAATCCCTTACAGATAGATGTTCATTGTTTCCACATTTACAAAGCATGTGTGTTATCCAATAAGCGCCGGAAAATCTTACCAGAGGCAGTCCAGACATCACAATCCCCACTGTGCAGTGGGAGAAGTTCAGGCTTAGGGAGGTGAAATGACCTCTCCAAGGCCTCACAGCGACAGCATCAGGTACGTCTCATCCTGGTCCATTGCTCATTCCCTGTACCCAGCTGTTAAGGTCTTTGGCAAAGGGACATCTGGATCAAATGCAACATCCATCCACTCTCACACACTGGGATAGACTGCACAGGGCGAGGCATTCCAGGGTCTGGGATCTCCCTGAGGATAATCTCCCAGGGCTTCTCTCATCCTCCAATGCCCTCTCCACCCAAACTCCACATTGCAGGCTCAGCTTCTGGCCTTTGGCCACTTCTGGCCTTCCCTCAGCTGAGACTTCCCCTTTATGCTGGTTATTGCACCCAGATCACCCCTGCCTCCCTTTCCCTCCCTTCCTCCTGGATCTTGGACACCTCTGCAGCCTCCTGCCAGTCACACCAGCAGATCTGGGTGCTGCTTCCGTTTGCCTCCACCTGTCTTATTCCCTTTTCCACTTCCTGTTTCGCATGTGCTTGACTTAGATGGTCACTGCTTTCTCTGCCCCACACCACCCCCCTGGAATGGTTTCTCACTTGTCCCTGCCAAAAGCTTCGGTCCCTTCTTAAAAGATTACCTATGGGACAGCCACAGGGCTGATGTGAGGCCATCACCCCTGCCCAGCCTGTGGTCTCCAAGGCAACAAGAACCAAACATCAAAATAACCAATTCCTAGGACTGAGTGAAGACAAGATTCTTCAAGGGATTAGGATTCTAATGAAAGCAGTTCTTTGAGCCCTACCTATGAATCACCTAGTCAGTGAAGCACAAATAAATCTCTTTTGAGAAACTGGTAAATAATGTGAAGTGGCTTCCTCTCTTCACCCTATGGAAGATAATCATGGACAGGATTGAAGTGGCCTGACTGGAGCTTGGGGCAGGAGCAGGGGTGAGAAGTAGGGTGCAGAGAATAGAGGAAAGAAACTTTAGAGGGTAAAGGGCCCTATTATGTGTATCCACCTGCTCAACAGGTCAGAGCTCCTGGGAGGCGTACCCCACTCATACCATTTCCTGTCCCTGGGATTGTATCAAACACAATGCTGCCCTTAATATCATATGTGCCATTTTCTAATTATGTTAGATAAAACATATTTCCAAATGTCCATTTCACATCTTTCAAATAACTCATCCTCTTACCTTCTTCCCATTTCTCATTTATTTTTGGAACTCACATTCGCCCGAATTGTTCATAAACAGATAATCCTTTACTGTTTTGGTTTAGTTCTGTGTCCAGCATACAGAAGATATCTAATAAATGTATTTTGAATTAAACTGAGCTAGATAAAGAAATGTGGGTTTGACTATCCATTGACAGCTCAGTTTTTCTTGGGATGAGTAAAATTTGCAAATATTCCAATTTGGAAATCAAGAAAGTACATAAAGTCCACTCTTAAGCTGTGTGAATTTTTGGAGACCTTACAACCCAGGCGAGTCCCATTTCCCCTACTAATTTAAGAAGCAAATTCACTCAAGCCTTTCTATATTTTGCAAATTCTGCAAGAAAGATGTGAGATTGACAAGAGACAGACAGCAGCCTTGTGTTTACTCACCAGCTGGTCTGTCTGCGGCTTCCATCCAGAATTCTTGTGCCATTTCACCTTCTGCAGGGCAGCCAACAGGGAAAGGAAGCATCTCCAAGTCAGAGGGGCAGGCAACTGGGGTCACCTGTTTCTCCCTGCAGCTTTGGTGTGGCTGCCGGTTGGCCATGACCCAGAGCCAGTGTGGGTCTGACTATTTCAGTCCTTTCTTCTTTCTCCTCTCCATACTCGTGGCTCATTCAGGAATACATGGTGTTGCTCCTTTTTGACCTTGCATTGCCTGGGCACAGACAGTGTGGACACGTTGTCTGCCGCAAACAAATCTGTCTGGATCATGGGGATGATGCTCTGCTCTGGACACCTCAGAACAATGGTGCTTCTTTCAGAGACCTCGGAAGCTGGAGATCATCCATGATTCCTCTCCATTTCTATTCCACAGGACGTTCAGCAGGGTGGGCTGCGCCTCTCTCCACCAACTCGGCTTGCTTTGGCTACCTCTCAACTTTGCCTTCTCCAGGTTAGCCCATCTGAAGATGGGCTCTCTGTGACAGTCCGACTCCTGAGGTTTCCTTCTTGCTTCTTTTCCTTGTGTTCTTATCCCTTTTATTAAACACACTGCTCCTTGTCTCCACATCTCTCCATTTCTCCAATCTCTCTGCATCGTCGGGAATTCTGCATTTGCTTTTTCTGCTAACCTGGTTCTTGAATCTTCTCATCCTTAGAACCTAAACATGCTCCTCTGTTATTCTCTCCTTCAAGACTCCGTGAAGCAACCCTGGCCGATCCGTGGATAAGACCAAAGAGGTTGCAGGACATTGCTGGCATTTAGTCTCCGCTCAGGGTAAAGCCTCCCTGGGTGGGAAGAAGAGTGTTGAGGAAATAGCGCCTATCAGGAGGCCAGCACTTTGGAGTAGGTTGGCAAGAGTCGGAAAGCAGGAGGCCTATGCTGGTCCCCACAGGGAGTGCTCATCTTTGGAAGCAGTCATCTTTCCCTACATCCCAATCCCAGATGAAAGGAGACAGAAGCTCCCTGTTGACTGCTTCTGCCTAGCACAAAGTGTCTGTGTGTCTGTGTGATACCTGACTCCAGACCCGCCTATTTCTCCCCCTTTAATTGTCTTGGAAGAAAACAAAGAAAATTTGATTTTATTACAAGTCTAGGGCTTCTTTGTGATGCTGTGGGGCTTTTCATCTGGATGGCATTATAATAAGTGGTGATAATGGTCTTGGGGAGTGTAGACGAAGGACCTTTTATCTGAGACTCAAGCTGAGCCATGAAAACTCAATGGGGAGAAAGACTCCAATAAGTCATCGTAAATGGCAGTTCTGGCTAGCCGCCAAAGCCACAGAGGAGGCTGGGATGCTGCTACCTGCAGGTGGTACCTGGAAGTGCCTGTACTTATGCAACTTGTATCTATTCCCAACTCTGACTACCTTTTCCTTGCATCTTCTGGTGGCGCCCTTCACCTCCTAAATCAATCCAAGTGACTTCAACTTGCTTTCCCAGATCCCCTACTTGTGGGGTGTCTCAGAGACGTCTCTCCTGTGTCCGGGCCTTGGATTCAGTGACATAACCACAGTCCTCCTACGGTGCTTTAACACCTTTGAATAGGTTGTGTGTAAAGCAGCAGGGCTGGAGGAAGGATGCCCAGGACAGAATTGGGCACACGTTCCTGGTATAGCCATTTCACTTAGAGAGTTGGGCAAAAGATGACAAAGTTTAACTGCAAATTTAAGTGATTTTTAATGTTCAAGCCAATGTGGACGTATTATGGAACTAGTGAAATTTTAAGATGAACTGATTTTATGCCTATGGAGGGCCCTTAGGGCTATCTCCTGACATTTCTAATATCCCCACTTGCTCTGTTCTGACACAGTGGATACCCGGTGAAAGCGTTTGATGAACACTACCTTATTGCTTTCCCATCAGCCTCCAGATACATTTCCTAGTGAGTTCAAGTGCATTTGCATGGATCTTTCAACTCGTATTTTTCATCCTTCTTTCAAAATGATCTCTTTCTCCAGAAACTTCCCTGTTCTCAAACCAATTATCAAAGCCTCAACTTATAAAATTATTTCCTCTACAATTCTCTTATGTGACAGCAGGGGACATTATGTGGCACTACAAAACACAAAGCCGTTGGACCTTTTTAACCATTGTCCAAATCAATCCTAATCATTCGCCTCAAACATCCATCCCTGAATGTATGCTGCCTCATTTAAAGATCCTTCTCACAGAGCAGACAGGGAGAGAGTCTACTGCTGACAGTTAATGCCACTTCTTCCTCAAACCAATCTGTCTCTCTCTGGAAATGCTGGGTGGGCCAGGACATGAGGTTGATTATGGACCTGCAGGATCACGTGACACAAAAGAATGACATTGCATGCACCAACACCCAATTAATGAGGGCTGGACATGTGACCTCTTTGAAGATCTCCCACAGAACTCTGATTTCATGGGTGTACTGCCTGAAGAAGAGTCCTGACTTAGCAAGAAGCCCAAGTAAAGAATTTTATGGGACAAGGGACTCTTCTGAGGAAGGCAAATAACAGACTGAAGGAAAGGGCGTCTAAAACCAATGAAGAAGTACAAAGAAAAAAGACATTACATACTGTGTCCACACCCTCCGTGGAGGGGGTATAAAGGCCCATCCGGGGAAAGGAGACCCACAGCGCTGTGGCTCGCCTTGCATTCTGTCTTCAGCCGGGCACCTCGCACCCTCCCAGCACCATGCCTTACAACTGCTGCCTGTCCAACGTGAGCTGCCGCAGCAGCTGCTCCTCCCGGCCCTGCGTGCCCCCCAGCTGCCATGGCTGCACCCTGCCCGGGGCCTGCAACATCCCCGCCAACGTGGGCAACTGCAACTGGTTCTGTGAGGGCTCCTTCAACGGCAGCGAGAAGGAGACCATGCAGTTCCTGAACGACCGGCTGGCCAGCTACCTGGAGAAGGTGCGCCAGCTGGAGAGGGAGAACGCGGAGCTGGAGGCCCGCATCCAGGAGCGGAACCAGCAGCAGGACCCTTTGGTGTGCCCCAGCTACCAGTCCTACTTCCGGACCATTGAGGAGCTCCAGCAGAAGGTGAGGGGGCTGGCTGTCATCTGTAAGCAAGGAAGGATGACTGTGATCCTCCATCTCGGGTAGAGAAGTGTTTCTTGCTTCTTGGCTGCCATGATTCTTACCTTCAAAATGTCTCTTTAAGCCATTCTAAAGAAGTTGGTGGTTGGGTCCTGACTTCCCATCCTCACTAAGCGATCTCTCCTCCCCAGATCCTGTGCACCAAGTCTGAGAACTCCAAGCTGGTGGTGGAGATCGACAACGCCAAGCTGGCTGCCGATGACTTCAGGACCAAGTGAGTTCACACTTGTTTCCTTTACTTCTGTTTAACCTCTCTTTAAATGGGATTTCCATAGCTTTACTGAACAACTGGTCAACCCCGTTAGTTGTGCAGAGGATGGGAGGGAACCACGTAAAGGAATCACAGAAATAGAGGCCAATGGTGGGTCTCCATGGAGCCTCCAGAACTCTCTGTTTCCTGGGTCTACTCATTTCAGAAAGAGGGAAGACCAAGCCAATGAGATTACCAAGGATCGTTCTTTTGAGTCTTGAAGATCTGCCAGTTGCTGATCTGCCCCTATCCTCCTGCAGGTTTGAGACGGAGCTGTCCCTGCGGCAGCTGGTGGAGTCCGACATCAACGGCCTGCGCAGGATCCTGGACGAGCTGACCCTGTGCAAGTCTGACCTGGAGGCCCAGGTGGAGTCCCTGAAGGAGGAGCTGCTCTGTCTCAAGAGGAACCACGAAGAGGTGAGGCCAGAAATGTGAGATCAAGAAACCTGACTCAGTCTCAAGAGGGTGGCTTTAGGAATTTGGTGCAGAACCAATATAAGGCTCAGGATGTCTGTATGAATTTTGTTTGAAAAAAAAAAGCCTTATGAGGAAAGAAGAATTGGAGAGATAAAACCTGTGCATGTCCCCAAAAAGGATACACCTTTCACTCCAACCCCCTGCACCATTTCTTTCTAGAGCATTTCCATTTGCTGGTAATTGGTCACCAAGTTGTGGAACTAGTCCTGGTATTACTGTTATTAGTGCAAAGTCATTTTTATTTCTCCCTCAAAGGCCAAACAATCAAACAAACAAAATATGACTGAGATTGTGGGTCTCCACATTTCCTAAGTCATGGTGAAGAAGGAGTGGGGACACTTTCTGTCTCTTTAGAGGGGCCATTTATTGGATATGCAATCTGAGATGGTACACCAAAGTTTTGTATTCTGGCGTCCTCACAGCCAATCTGGGAAAGTGTGCATCCTTCAGTGATATCCAAGTAAATCCTTGGGAATTCTTTTTGGAGTCAAGTCCCATAGCATGGCCACAGTGAGGAGGTGCTGGGCCACATGCAGACCATCTTGCCTAGAGCTGTCACAGACTGCTTTGCTCAGTTTTCTTTCTGAAAAAATAGACTAACAGGGCATCAACAAGCAATGCCATCTCTGAGAGTCCAATCATTGAGGACAGTAACTCTTACATTTTTTGCATCCACAGGAAGTCAACACCCTGCGCTGCCAGCTTGGAGACCGCCTCAACGTGGAGGTGGACGCTGCCCCCACTGTGGACCTGAACCAAGTGCTCAATGAGACCAGGTGTCAGTACGAGGCCCTGGTGGAGACCAACCGCAGGGAAGTGGAGGAGTGGTTCACCACCCAGGTGGGCATCCGAGCACCTGACCACTCAGGACCCAAGGCCCCAGGGCCCTTAGGGCAGGGTCTGATCCTGTCTCCTCCCCTTGGGTGTTTCAGACTGAGGAGCTAAACAAGCAGGTGGTGTCCAGCTCAGAGCAGCTTCAGTCCTACCAGGCGGAGATCATTGAGCTGAGGCGCACGGTCAACGCCCTGGAGATCGAGCTGCAGGCCCAGCACAACCTGGTGTGTATTGTTCAGACCAGCTGGTGAGCAGTGTGAAGTCGGGGAGGCAGACTCACCTGTGGTCCACACTCTCCTTAACCCTTGAAGCTGGTGACTCTGCAAGCCCATGGAGAAGCTCCTTAAAGGGGAGCAGCTCTCTGACACCCCTTTATCTTCCCCACTACAGAGGAATTCTCTAGAAAACACACTGACAGAGAGCGAGGCCCGGTATAGTTCCCAGCTGTCCCAGGTGCAGTGCATGATCACCAACGTGGAGTCCCAGCTGGCCGAGATCCGGGCTGACCTGGAGCGTCAGAACCAGGAGTACCAGGTGCTGCTGGACGTCCGGGCCCGGCTGGAGTGTGAGATCAACACGTACCGGGGCCTCCTGGAGAGCGAGGACTGCAAGTGAGTAACAGCTGGAGGTGTTTGATGAAGCCCCACTCATGAGTACACTACTCCGCGGCACTCTCCAAAGATTACTTACCTTGGGAAGGAAACCATGCCTTCATTCCAGGCATGCTCAGACAGAACCCAGAAAACACGTTATGGCCATCATTAACAACATCAAATAGTTTGGAAGCAAGAATTATTTGATGTACATATGGAAATTATACAACCAATTCTTTGTATTCTACTATGATAGTATATTTGATCGCCTGATATGTGATCAATGATGTCTTACTGTCTACAATACTGTATTGCATAGAGGGGACCTCTCAATACACTATCCTATCTGGCCTTATAATTTAACCCCTGGCCAATATTCTCCCCATTCTATATGTGACTTGCCCAAGGTCACCAGCTGGGAATGGACCAACGTGGGGTAGAAGTCAGAGTTTCAGGGTTTCTATTCAGTGCTTTTGGCGCTCTGTGATAGGGAGAGCGTTAGCAATTTGATAATGTGCCGCAGTGCGAGGTAGGCCTTCTCTGTTCTAGGCCAGGCAGGGTCCTGATAGGTGTTCCACTCTTGGGGTCTCTCTGGTATGTGATTTTTACATCCCCCTCAATTTACCTTGTCATTCTTTGTCTCTAGGCTTCCCTGCAACCCCTGCGCCACAACCAACGCGTGCGGCAAGCCCATCGGGCCGTGCGTTGCCAATCCCTGCACTCCCTGCGCGCCCCCTGCCCCTTGCACACCTTGTGTCCCGCGCTCCCGCTGTGGACCCTGCAACTCCTTCGTGCGCTAGAATCCTGCAAAGCCAAAGGGGCAAGGACACGGGCCTGGGGCTCCAGAGCGTTGACCTGGCTCTGGTTCCTTCCAGAGAAAGGGCCTGAAAACACAGTGGAAAGACTGGCGCTGCCCCAGGGAGGCACAAGAAACTCACCCAAAGCCTCCAGCCACTCCAGCCTACTCCAGACCCGCCATCAGGGTCTGTTTCTTCCTTTGCTTGCTCAGAGAACCCTCTGAAGTGCCAGCAGCCCTTCCTTGTAACCCAATAAAGGCAATTTTCACAGCAAAGCAGATGCCTTTCTCTTTGGTATGCATTCATTGCCACTGTCAGCATCAATTGGGGACTCTATAAAAAGCCACTTGAAAGACCACACAATGGCCTGACTCTTGGAGACAAGAGCCATTCCATGCCTGGCAAGCAGGCATGTCTGGCCTGGTGCCGGGGACCCAGGAATGAGGCAGAGAGGCCAGCAGAAAGCAGGGCAGGGTGCTGCCACCTGTATCTCCACTTGACCATCCCTGGATTTTCCTCTTGACCTGGCATTTCCCAAAATTGCTAGAGTCCTGAGCTGGGAACTGGAAAGAGGCTCTGGAAAATTTGTCTTTTCCCAGTAGGAGCTTTGGGTTCAGTGCTGCATGATTCTGGACCAGGCAGTCCCAGCAGCACCCTGTGAAGGGACCCCCCCCTGGCTTTTCTTGCCATGTCCAGCACCTCCTCCTCTCCCCTGTGTGTGTAGATGGTATCACCTGGGTCACCAGCTGCTCTTCCTCCCTCCCTGGCTTTGGGTCTCAGAGACCCCATCAACTCTTCAGTTGATACTTTGGCCTTTCTCCATTCAATTCAGCCAATACCTGTTGAATTCCTACTGCACAGATGATTTTAGGCTTTGATGCCTTTAATCTACGTCTAAAATGAGTTGAAATTCTATCTATCCCACGGTGGTTATGCCACTTAAAATTTTTCCTAGAAATGCACAAGGTCCCGATTTCTCCCCATCCTTGCCAACTCTTGTTATTTTCTGTTTGTTTTTTAAATAATAACCATCTTAATGGTTATTATAATGGTTTTGTTTGCATTTCCCTGATGATTAATGATGCTGAGCATCTTTTACATGTGCTTATTGGCTATTTGTATATCTTTGGAAGAAATGTCTCTTCAAATCCTTTGCCCATTTTTAAGTTGCATTGACAGTTTTTTTTTTTAATGTTGAGTTGTAGGGATTCTTCATAAATCTGATGATCCCCATTAGATATAGGATTTGCAGATATTTTTTCTAGTATGTGATTTTCCTTTTTACTCTCTCAGTAGGGTCCTTTGATGCATAAAAGGTTTTTAATTTTGATGAAAGTCATTTTATTTATTTTTTTTCTTTTGTTGCTTGGGCGTTCGGTGTTGTATCTTAGGAAATTATTGCTGAATCCAATGCCTGGTAATTCCAGAGCTCTTTGGTGCCTTTTTTTTTTTTTTTTTGGTGGGGGGCTCTTGGGCTGTTCACTTGCCCATCACTCTTGAATGTTTTATTTTCCCCCAGCTTATCATCTGAATATTTTTTTTCCTGATTCTTTTACTTTCTGTTTCCCAACAGATTTTATATTTACTATAGCACAGGGCAAAGGCATTTTTTTCTGTCCTTCCATCTGGGATCAAAGCCATCATCTGAGTTCTTTGAGGCCAGAGGCTGCCGTCAGCATCTTCAGGAAGAACAGCAGGGCTGCCCAAGAATGCTCAGTATTTTCCTTTTAAAAAGCCCATCCCATTATTTCCAGGAGTCATGCCTTATCACAAGCCTGTGGGATTTGTCACTTTTAATCCCCCCGTTGACTGCACTGTGCAGGAAACCTGGGTGTGTCTTCTCATCTGTGTGCTCAGAGCAGCATTGGAATCCATGATCCCTCTCTGTGTGTTCTCCCAGTTCCTGTGCTTGGCCACACCCTGGCCTAGGTTAGGGTCTCGTCTCTCTAACTCGCAAGTGGTATGATGGTCCCCGGAGACCCGAGTCTATTTAAGTGTGTCAGTTTTGGACAAGTTAAGTTTCCTCCCGATGTCTCAGATACTTGATCTCTATACACAGTGACAAGAACAGAATCTGAACACCAGGGTTTGGGGTCAGGATGGAACACTATGCAGGAAGGTACCTAGCAGACTGACTAGAAAGTTATGGGTTGATATTTGTGTTTCCTTGCTGTCTGAGCCTTAGTTCTCTCCTCCGTCAATTCCCGTCCTTCTAGTTTTGGAATTCATCGCTTCCAAAGAATCAAAGAACTTAGTTCTCAAGTGAACTTTTACAAGGTTAATTGTTTAGGTTTAGGCAGGTAGGCTTTCTTGCAGGTTCTAAATTACCTTAGCTCATGTGTTGTATGTTTTCATTTGCTTAGAGGCTTAGAAAAGACAACCTAATTTCTAACATGGACATATCAACCAATCGTGCAGAAGGATGGCTGTTTCCCTGTTGAGTATGGAGATTCTTCAGAAACTTGTTTTTAATTTAGGAAAGTATCATAGAGATTAGCTAGGTGGCTTGAGCAGAGAGGCCCTTGGAAGACTGATGGGGTGTGGAAGGAGTAGAGTATGGGACCACAGAAGGGACAAGAAGGGAAAATTATAAAGTGAAAGGGCAATGGAAAGTAATGAATCCAAGATTTCCTTCCCCTCACTAACTCAGAGAAAATGCTGCCAAATATAAGATTTTTGCACTGCGTTTCAGTGTTCCGTCTCAGAAGTCAGAGATACCTGAGTTGTTCAAATCCTAGCCCCACTACGCATTGACTCTATGTTAGGCAAATTCGGATACTTTTCCAATTTTTTTTTTTGTTATCTGTAATGGGAATAATAAGGCAACCTCACAGTGATGCTGGGAGAATTAAATGAAAAATGTGTTGATCCTTTTGTATCTTTTTGCTTATTACCTTGTTTGGCACATAATGAGGATTCAGGAAATGGCCGCACCCTCATCATCCTCCTCATCATCGTCATCCTCATCATCAATACTACCAGCATCATTTTTACAAATACTTGCACAGAGCTGTAAGGCTGGGGATTCCTAGAGGATGAGTATAGCCCATTTCAATGCCAGTAACAGAAAGGAGGCCTTGGTGGCAATATGACTCCACCTAGAGAATTGTGCTCTTCAAGAACCACCCCGAATTAGGTGACTAAACCCATAAGATCAGGAATTTAGCACAGAAGCTAGAAGATGATAGTCGTCTGTGAACTTCCTATTCCTGATGTCAACATTTGCAGTTTTTTTTTTTTTTGTTAATCCATGAATACAGTTCTGTGTCCCTAGTGCTTACAGGGCAAGTGAGATTTGATACCACTGAGTGAACATGGGCAATGGGCGTGGGTGTCTGCTTAACAAAGTAGACTTTTCCCAGATTCTTTATCTGAACCATCTGGGATGGCAATAGGAAGGATGAAGCTTACAGAAATTATTGTCAGTACTCCATCCCCCAACTATGTTCACAAATACCATCTTACTCAACCCTCACAAAAATCTGGCAGTTAGGCAGCATTCTTACTTACTTTAATTAAAATCTTTTAAAGATGAGGAAAACAAGACTCAAAAAAAAAAAAAAAAAAAAGGGGGAACTGACTTCTCTGGATTCCTATCCTTGGAATGTGAATTACTTAACTTCTAATGTGTTTTCTGGGAAGTGATGCCAGCAATCAGGTGGAATAGGAAGCCCTAGGTCTTCTTTGCTCCCATGGATGCACCAATTCACAGATCAATTCTCTTTGTGAGAAATACAGTAACTGATTAAGAGGCTCTTAGGTGAATGAAACAAGCCAGACTAAAGCTGGTAGAAAGATTCAAGACACCTCTTCTTGGTATCTTTTATCCCAGCACAGTGCCATATGCCTAGAAGGAAATTCCCAGCTACCAGCTTTTCTGCAGTGAGGGAATGCAGGAAGCTACCCGAGAATTACTTGAGGGTCTTCTCTTGGTATGGCAGCCAGGGAGATTTTAGGTTTAAACTTGGGAACTATCTGAGGCTCTCCCACACAGTAGATTGCTCAAGGCACAAGACCTTTATCTCTGCTCTACTAGGAAGATCCCTCACAGTAGCTCCGGAAATGGGTGTAACCTGTTGGGAACTAGAGAGCCCACCAATAACCATTTTTGGTAAAGAACATTGCATTACATGTGCGTGTTTACAGCAGCACAATTAACAACAGCCAATTTATAGAACCAGACTAGGTATCCATCAATAGATAATTGGATAAAGAAAATGTGGTTTATATACACAATGGAATTTTCTTGGGTCATAAAGAAAAATGAAATTATGACTGAAGAAAATTCCATTGAGTATATATACCATATTTTCTTTATCCAATTATCTATTGATAGATACCTAGTCTGGTTCTATAGTTTGGCTGTTGTGAATTGTGCTGCAGTAAACACGCACATGTATGCATGTATGTATCACTGCAGTATGATGACTTTCATCCTTTAGGATAAATACCAAAGAGTTGGTATAGTTGGGTCATATGGTGGTTCCATGCCTTATCTTTTAAGGAACCTCCATAATCATTTCCAAAGTGGTTGTACTAATTTACAATTCCACCAACGGTGTAAAACTGTTCCTTTTCCTCCACATCTTCTCCAGCACTTATTTCAATAACTACTTTAAGTGTAAATGAATAACCCTCCGATTAAAAATGTAATCAAATGGATAAAACCAAGCCAAGATCCATCTACACTGTCTATGCTGTCTACAAGAGACTGACTTTAGGTCTAAAGACAAATACAGACTGAAAGTGAGGTATGGAAAAAAAGATATTCCTTGCAGATGGTAATCAAAAGAGAGAAGGTGGCTATACTAGCATAAGACTGTTAGGCTTCAAGTTGAAAATTTCATAAGAGACAAAGAACATTATATAACGATGAAAAATTTATCAGGAAGATATAACAATTAGAAGTCTATGTGTACCCATCATTGGAGAACCTAAACACAAAGCATGCATTGTCAGGACTAGGGATAAATAAACAAACATACAGTAATGGTAGGATACTTAAAAAAATCCCACTTTCAATAATGGGTAGAACATTAAGATAGAAAACCAATAAGGAAATAATGGATTTGAACTTTTGCACTAAAGAACAAACAGAACTAGCAAATGTCTATATAGAACATTCTGTCCAAGAGGAACAGAATACACCTTCTTCTCAAGTGCATGTAGAACATTCCCTAGCACAGATCACACGTTAGGCCACAAAACGAGTCTTTTAAAAAATTTTATTTGTTCCTTTTAGATATATGTGACAGTACAAAATGAGTCTTAATAAATTTAAGATTCAAATCACATATCAAGCATCGTTTCCAACCACAATGGAACAAAACTATAACAGCAGAAGGAAATCTGGAAAATTCACAAATACGTGAAAATTAAACAACATACCCAGGAGTAACCAACAAGTCAAAGAAGAACTTAAAAGGAAAATTAGAAAATATGTTGAGAAAAATAAAGACGAAAACACAACATACCCCATTTGTGGGATGCAGTAAAAGCCGTACTGAGGGAAGTTTACACTGATAAATACCTGCATTAAGAAGAAAGATCTCAGAGAAACAATCTAATTTACATATACTTCAAGGAACTAGAAAAAGAATAAACTAATTTCAAAGTTAGCAGAAGAAAGGAAATAATAAAGATTAGAGCAGAAATAAACAAAACTAAACAGTAGAAAAGCAATAAAAATGCTGAAGTTTGGATGTTGAGTGCCCCCCAAAGCCCAAAGTGTTAAAAGGCTTGGTCTCTAGGGTAGTGTTATTGGGATATAGAACCTTTAAGAGGTGGGGCCTAGTGGGAGCTGTTTAGGTCATTGGGAATGTGAGCCCTCATAGAGGGATTGTGTGCCCTCATAGAGGGATTGTGTGATCCTAGCCTATTTTCCTTTCTCTCTTTTTTGCTCCCTGGCTCATGATGTGAGTGGTTTTGCTCCTCCATGTGCTTTCACTCTAATGTGCTGCCTCAGGATAGGCTCAAAATGATGGGGCCATTTGATCATGGACTGGAACCTCTAATGCTGTAAGCTGAAATAAACCTTTCTCTCGATAAGTTGATGACTCAGGTATTTTGTTATAGTAGCAGAAAGCTGATAGAGAAACTAAGAGTTGGTTTTTAAAAAAAGAAAAACAAAATTCAGAGATCTTTAACCAGAGTAAAAAAATAAAAGGAAGACTCAAAGAACAAAATCAAGGTTTGATTTTTCTGCTCCTCTCACAATGCCTTTGAAATCTGGATGCATTCTTATTTAAATGACTTACATTATCTTCCACAAATAGTCTTTTGGGACTTCTTTCTGAACCAGGGCTTAATTTCTATGCAGAAAGTGTGATAGGAAAAGAAGGTGAGGTGAGGAAGGCTTCTCTCTAAAGACTCATAACTGGGCAATTGGGAAGTTCTGCAGGATATGGAAGAATCAAAGGGCAATGATATGTATATGTAAATTAGATTGTTTCTTTGAGACCTTTTTTCTCAATGCAATGATAAAGAGGCGATAGCAACATGCTTATCAGAGTAAGGTCTCCTCCTCCTTCTTCTTCTTTTGGAACCAGGATTGAACTCAGGGGCAGTCAACCACTGAGCCACATCCCCAGCCCTATTTTGTATTTTATTTAGAGACAGGGTCTCACTGAGTTGCTTAGTGCCTCACTTTTGCTGAGGCTGGCTGTGAACTTATGATCTTCCTGTCGTAGATTCCTGAGCTGCTGGGACTATAGGTGTGTGCCGCAATTGCACCTGGTGAGACAGGTCTACTTCTTAGGGAAGACAGAGTCAAGCTGCCTCTCATGCGCACTGTGAGCCAGGACCATCTCAGGTGGCACTGCCACTCCTCTAGGGGTGCTGATACTTTCCAAAAGGAGCATCAGTCTAGGAGTCAGGCAATAGAAATTTCCAGACTTTGTGATAAGGTCATCATGCATAGCTCTGGAAGCTCATTCTCGTTGTCCTTTCTTGGTGAATCTAAAACCTAATGCTTCGTCTTTATCCTTCAACATTGCTGCCTGAACCCTCGCTCTTAAGAGCCATACTCCTTCCACTCACCCCTCACCCCTCCACCTCCCCGTGTTTTTCTAAGGAATGAACATGTGGGGTTGAGGAGATAGGACAGGTGGGAAAAGGCTTATAGGACTTCTTGGACCACCAAGATAAGGGACTTCAATCTCAGGGCACTTGTGTATGAACTCAGACCAGGGAAAGCAGGAAAGCAGCCATCAACCACACCTAAGTAGGTGTGGCTGTGTTCCACTGAAACTTTATCACCAAAAAAAAAAAAAAAAAAGGGCATCAGGCTGAACTTGGTGCCTCCCCCATGTTTCCCTTAAGCTATTTTCACCCAACATCAGAGACACCCCTACCCGTCCCACCGCCCTACCTCTTTAAGGTTCCATAGTCTCCCAAGAGCGCCACCCTGAGGACCAGCCCGTATATAGGTTGTAGTCTATAATGGGTTAATTTCCCTTTAGTACGATTCCCATCCATCAAGCCAGTTTCCATTTTACTTATTTCCCAACCACAAATGCATAATTGTTTTCAATCTCTCCATGAACTGTCCAATGCCCTAAGTCCCAACCAATAGCAAGAATCAGGAGCCATAGAGCTAATACAGGGTGAGTGTTCGCTGTAAGGACCGTTGAAGTGAATGCTGAGAAGTGGGTAGATTTGGGAGGAGACAGCTTCCTGAAAGAGTGTTCACCCACAGCTTTCATTCCAGGCAGTGCCATGGCAGGACCTCAAAGGACAGGAATCTGTGATTCCCCAACGACTCCACCCCATGTCCTTGGCAGTCCGTCCTTCCCTCTGAGTAATGGGGTAAGCCTTTTGGGGCTGGAATGATTCTGCCTCCTTTGAAGTCTTCTGCTGAAACTCTGATTTCATCAACCACTGGCACCCAGGAAGAGCCTGGTGTGACACAAGCTGAATGGAATCATTTTATAGGAGGAGGGGGGACTCTTTGGAAGCAACTAACTAGCATATTTTGAAGAAAAATTAGCTGAAGCATTTGGTCAAGCCCCCACCCACTATTAAGGGTATAAAAGGACCATGGAGGAAGGAGAGACTCAAACCTCACCCACATCTACCTCCAGCAGCTCTCTGCTCTTCCGCCACCTCTCCAAACCCAAGCACCATGCCGTACAACTGCTGCCTGTCCAACGTGAGCTGCCGCAGCAGCTGCTCCTCCCGGCCCTGCGTGCCCCCCAGCTGCCATGGCTGCACCCTGCCCGGGGCCTGCAACATCCCCGCCAACGTGGGCAACTGCAACTGGTTCTGTGAGGGCTCCTTCAACGGCAGCGAGAAGGAGACCATGCAGTTCCTGAACGACCGGCTGGCCAGCTACCTGGAGAAGGTGCGCCAGCTGGAGAGGGAGAACGCGGAGCTGGAGGCCCGCATCCAGGAGCGGAAGCAGCAGCAGGACCCCTTGGTGTGCCCCAGCTACCAGTCCTACTTCCGGACCATTGAGGAGCTCCAGCAGAAGGTGAGGGGCAGAGCCAGGTGGGGGCCCAGAAGCAGCTGCCTGTCTTGGAACTAGTGAGATATCCTCAAGTTCAAGTGGACCTCACATTAGAACCAACTTTTTTCAGATTCTGTGTGCCAAGTCTGAGAACTCCAAACTGATGGTGAACATTGACAATGCCAAGCTGGCCTCTGACGACTTCAGAACCAAGTATGTTGAGCCTTTTTGGACTAGATGACCTCCAGGGCCCCACAGCTACTCCATGGCCCCATGAGCCTAATGTTGCCCAGAAGGGATGAGAAAGCCATCTCTTTCTTTTTATTTCTCCCCCTCAGTCTAGTTAAGTAAAGTCAGTTTCAAATAGAAATCCACACTGAAGGGCTGCCGGCCCTTCAGTAGATACAGGTTGGGTATCTCTTATCTGAAACGTTTGGGACCAGATATGTTTCAGATTTTGGATTTTAAAAAATGTTGGAATATTTGCAAGTACATAATGAGATATCTTGGGATTGGAACTTACATCTAAACACAACATTTATAGATGTTTTACACACAAAAAAAATATACATAGCCCCAAGGTAATTTTATACACTATCTCTGGTGCACTACAGTTTTGACTGATTTGTCACAAGATCAGGTGTGGAGTTTTCCACAGTGGTGTCACATCATTGCTCAACACATTTTGGATCTTTGAGCGTTTCAGATTTTTGGATTTTCTGATTTGGAATGCTCAACCAGTATTGATCTTTCTGGAAGGGTTTCATAAACCCCCAAATTCAGAGATTGAAATTAATTGTTTTCTGGGAATGGATCGATTTGATCATATTTTAGCCAACAAAATTGAGAACAGAGGGAGAGACTCCATCCTGTGGGCCCTGTGGGCACCTCCTGGTGTTAGTTTGAATCAAGAGCCTTTTCTGGTCTATGCACGTGTAGCATGAAGGAGACATGGAAGAAAAGGGGCAGAGAACTGTGTAGGTTCAAGAAGATCTTGGCCAATCCTATCCAAAAAAAGATGCCAGAGAGGAAGGCAGGCTTCTTGCCTGGCTTCTCCTCCCACTCTGATCTGTGTGCACAGGTACGAGACGGAGCGGTCCCTGCGGCAGCTGGTGGAGTCGGACATCAATAGCCTGCGCAGGATCCTGGATGAGCTGACCCTGTGCAAGTCTGACCTGGAGGCCCAGGTGGAGTCCCTGAAGGAGGAGCTGCTGTCCCTCAAGAGGAACCATGAGGAGGTATGAAAAATTTTTTTAAAAAGCCACCTTCAGAGCTTCAGAGCTGAGCCTTTCGTATTGGGAATCAGATGGTAGTAACCGTCAGACTCCCTGGCATGGAACCCATTCCTGAAGAACTCAAAGTTGGTTCATAAAAGGATGAAGCTGTATCCACATCACAAAGTGAAGAGAGCTGTGAATTCTCAGGCATCCAGGTGCAGGTTGGGCAGGTGTTGGAGATATTGAGGAATGGCATCCATTGATTGAAGTTGGTCATTGTTAGGGCTTGGATTTGGTGTGGTGGTGGGGAGAGAATAGGGGAAAAAAAAGAAAAGAAGAAGTCATGGCTTCTCTCTTTAAAGAGCTCACAGTCTAGAGCAGACAGACAGCCATGTTAATATAGTGGTGAAGGCAGAATGAAGCAAGTTCTCTATGAGAGGTACACAAGCATGCACAAGCTAGTATGCCAGAGAGGAGACAGAGAACTCTTCCCAGATGCAAGGAGGAGTGCAACGAAGGGGTGTTCTGACCTGAGAGAAGAGGCTGAGCAAAGACCCAGAAGTGGTGGAGAAGGGTACGTTGGGGTACGCTGGGCACACGGTGCCTACAGAGATGTGATGAGAAATGAGGGAGGACTTGCATATGCCAGGAAATTAGTCTCCCAGGAGGTGTGAATTCCTTTCAGTTTGTTGGGAAATGTTTTAGGATGATCCTAAATCCTTATTGCTACCCAGTGTCTACACCAATCTTTGGAATGATCGGGATATTCCTGTTAGTGCTTTGTTGGCAGGGCTGAACTCACTTCCCTAGAGCAGAAAGATAGCAGCTCTATTTCTGTGAGTTTAATCTTTCCTCCCCCTCCATCAGGAAGTCAACACCCTGCGCTGCCAGCTTGGAGACCGCCTCAACGTGGAGGTGGACGCTGCCCCCACCGTGGACCTGAACCAAGTGCTCAATGAGACCAGGAGTCAGTACGAGGCCCTGGTGGAAACCAACCGCAGGGAAGTGGAGGAGTGGTTCACCACCCAGGTGGGCATCCGAGCACCTGACCACTCAGGACCCAAGGCCCCAGGGCCCTTAGGGCAGGGTCTGATCCTGTCTCCTCCCCTTGGGTGTTTCAGACTGAGGAGCTGAACAAGCAGGTGGTGTCCAGCTCAGAGCAGCTTCAGTCCTACCAGGCGGAGATCATCGAGCTGAGGCGCACGGTCAACGCCCTGGAGATCGAGCTGCAGGCCCAGCACAACCTGGTGTGTATTGCAAAATTGGGGAGGCAGAGTCACCTGTGGGCCACAAACTCTCCTTAGCCCTTGGAGCTGGTGACTCTGCAAGCCCATAGAGATATCCCTTAAAGGGGGGCAGCTCTCTGACACCCCTTTATCTTCCCCACCACAGAGGAACTCTCTGGAAAACACGCTGACAGAGAGCGAGGCCCGCTACAGCTCCCAGCTGTCCCAGGTGCAGTGCATGATCACCAACGTGGAGTCCCAGCTGGCTGAGATCCGGGCTGACCTGGAGCGTCAGAACCAGGAGTACCAAGTGCTGCTGGACGTCCGGGCCCGGCTGGAGTGTGAGATCAACACGTACCGGGGCCTGCTGGACAGCCAGGACTGCAAGTGCGTATGGGAGAAGGTTTTCTGGGATGATGGGTATGGTGGGAGTGTCAGACACCGGGGGCACACACATGGTTGCCTAAACAATGTGCATTCATCGTCTTCTATGCAACCGATGTGCACAGGCAAAGGCCAAGGGAATGGCTCCTGCCACTGGGGGCTACTAATGCAGAGGTTGTGGCCGGGAGATTGCCTGTTAAAACAATATTTGTTACCTAAGGTAGATTGTGTTCAATTCCATGAGAGCTCAAGAGCATGAGATAGTATATTCAAAAGAACAATTTTCTGACCCTGCATATGGTATTTTGGGAAAGGGAGAAGGATTTGGTATCAATCAAAATTCCATTCTAATTCCAACCACTGAGAAATCATAGGTTGTCTCATTACGACCAAGGCAATATGTGCAATTTAGGGTTCTCTCTCCTCCCCCATCCATTCTAAACCTCTCTGTCCCCCCAGCCTCCCCTGCAACCCATGTGCTACCACTAATGCGACTGGCAACTCCTGTGGACCCTGTGGCAGCTCTCAGAAGTGTTGCTCTTAATTGAACAACTTGCATCCCCTTTGAAGACGTCAGTGGAGCCATTTAAGTCGAGTACAGGAACCATCCCCAGGTCCTTTTGCCAGGGCTCAGTGGCCGTTGAGAAACCTCACCATGCCAACTGTGATTTCTAGACCAGGCCATGCTTTACGCTCACGTCATCAGCTCCCAAGGTCTGGAAAACTCCTTGGTGTTGAGACTTGTTCAGCTCCCAGTAATCTGGGCTCCAGGTATTACTTAGGGTGATTCCTGTACGTTCTGCCTCTTCCTGCTTTCCTTCCTTCTCTGGAATGCAGGGAGGCTACTTCATTTAATTCCCAATAAACTTTATTTCTCCGGCATAGTAAAGGTGTTTCTCATTCATCTTTATGCATCGTAAAGTACACAAGTCATGACTGCTTCATAAAAACATCCGACATCAGGAGGAGGGAATGGGCTAAATGGCTGACCAGAGCTATTGTGTCCACTGATAGACAGGGAGGAATGTGCTCCTAGGGGACTCTCACCCAGGACAGGCCATGCAGAAAACCTGCTCTTCAACATCCACACCTGTCTCGCCTTGGCCATCCTGAGAGTCCTCACCAAACTTCACTACTGTCCCCCGCAGATATCCTCATCAGACTGGAATTTTCTTGTTCCCTTTCTTCTAAATTGCTTCAAGACTATTGTCTGTAGAAAGTGCTCAAAAAACAAATGAAACCAACCACAAAACAAACAAACAACCCCCCCCCCCCAAACAGCAATATCCTCTCCTCTCACCTCTTTGTGACACAGATGTCACTGATACAGATACCTTGAAATTCATCTTCCTTGATTTCCATAAATTCACACATCCTTGGTCCTCTCCTTATATCTCTGGTTGCCTGGGCTCTATTTCCCCTTTTTTTGGTCCCAGATGGAAGGATCACTTGAACACTGTGATTCTTGGGCCACCATTTTTCTCCTACATCCTTGTCCCAGGAGGACTAGCACCTCTAAGCTGAAGATTCCCAAATCTACTCTCACCTCAACTTGGGTTCCAGGTTTTCAGTTGCTCAAAGGGGAATCCATTCCATCTTTTTTCTTCCCTCCCTTCCTCCCTCCCTCCCTCCCTCCTTTCCTTCCTTCCGTTCTTCCTTCCTTCCTTCCTTCCTTCCTTCCTTCCTTCCTTCCTTCCTTCCTTCCTTCCTTCCTTCCTTCTTCCTTCTTTGTGGCATTTGAGATGGAACCTAAGGGTGATCCACCACTGAGCTACATCCCCAGCCTTTTTTATTTATTTTTGTTTTTGTTTTAATTTTTTATATTTTTTGTCTTACTAAATTGCTGAGGCTGGCCTTGAACTTATGATTCTCCTGACTCAGCCTCCCAAGTCTCTGGGAGAACAGCTGTGCCTGGCCATTCCGTCTTGTGTAATTGGACTAAAGTCCACCTTTGCCAAGCTGGTTCACCTTGCCACATACTTGTTATACCTAAGCCATTGTTTTCTAATAAGAACCGTTACATGCCGCCAACCTTCTATCCTTACTTTCTTCCTGTCATCGCCACAGCCCAGTTGTGCCAGAACAGTGAGGTAGGTTGCAGACAGGCCAGAGGAAGTATCCAGAGATAGCCTGTGAGGCATGGGATTTATTGGGGAAGTGTACAGAGATCAACAGCTGCTCTAAGAAGAGTTCAATGGTGATAGACAGATAGCACCTCTGCCCCTCAAGGTCCTTTGCTAAGGAGTGACTCCTTCCAGTGTTTTGTCCAGTGGTGGTTAACTGGACAAGTGACATGTATCCTTTACACAGTGTCCCAACTTCATCCTTGAGAGAAGGTTTCATATGTTGGGCTGCAGCAGCGGTCATTAGCGTTAGCCTCCTTTGTTTGCTTGTCTGACCAGCATCCCAAGGAGCGGCTGTCATAGTGTGCATGCAGGAAAGTTGTTTTCTATAGGTAGCACTAACTTACTCTAGTTCACAGTGTGCATAAGAGAATGCCAGTGTTCTTCAAGATAATATATTTGGACCTTCCAACCCTGGCTTGCTCTCACTGATTCATTGACTTAGCTAGACTTTTGGAACAAACGGATGCATTCAGAGTCATGGTATTTTACTGCTTCCCCTTTTCTTTAAAGATGGTATATTCCATCTCCCATGTAAGATGTACTTAAAAATCTTCCACTTATCTTCCATAGTATCCCTCGAGTGGCACAAAAGGATGTTACAGTGTAGCCAAATCCCACAATATTCATACAAAGAGCAACAGAATATGAGCAGCTCTGCTCTAAGAGCAAGTGGACGGAGAACAACATATCTCCAGGTGGGGGGAAGAGACTGTAACCAAGCAGAGACAGGATTAGGACTAAGTTTACCTACAGCAGTAATATGGGTTTGCAATTTATGTAGAGCCAAAGAAATGTTATGATCATCATGAGGGGTGTATGCATAACATTCAGTATTTATAAGGATACAGGCACCTCCCTGTGCTTTGGCCAACATAACCAATGCCCTTTTATTTTGAATCACCACCTTCCATGTTTGGGTGGTTTCTTTATTAAGCAAGGTTTTGGCTCTGTGAGTAGTATTTAAGGCAGCAGCAGCATGCTTAGCTAATGCTTCAACTTGGAACTCAATGTTAATGCTTTTTGCTTCAGGAGAAGGTATAATAAGTGGGTAAAGCCACCAGGCAGCTCAAGTTATATTATGTTTAGTTTTTATAAAGTCCTAATTAGTAGGGATTGTAGATAAAGTGGGAAGTATATAAAATCTTTTCTAAGTGCATTGGCCAATCCAGTTATAAGGCAGGTATGGCCACCTGTAGGTGTCACATGTCCATAACTGCCCCCAAGGGGAGGGATATGTTCCTCACATGTTGTTCAACTTTGCCATCTTAAATAGTCAGCGTCTGAGTATAATGGCTAAATGATGCTGATTGAAAGGGGTCCAACCTATATTTACAGAGAGTAGAGAGGTATTGAAGCCATTTTTTTTCTATACAGAGAGAAAATTCCCCTTTCATATTCATTCACTTAGCCACCCCAACCTGTCAATCAGAGTATACCACAGAAAGGCTTGGCCATGTCCATTTGTTCCCATACAAGTGGAAGACAAAGAAGAGTAAATTCAAGTTCAAGTCTATAGGGCATTTTGCCAGCTGCCTGGTGGTATATGTTATTTCAGCTTAACAGTCACTTCCATTTCACCAAGGTAGCTGAAAGACCAGTGTAGGAGGTCAGAGGCATTTTATTATATGTCTGGCATTCTGAGGATACTTGTCCATTATGCAAATATATTAGCTCTAAGGATGAAATGTAAGACATTTTTAGCAGGTGTTAAAACAGGCAGATCTTGAATATTCAACAATATATAAGCAAACTGATAATTCTGAATGAGAATAGAACCAGCCTGTGACTCATCCCCAGATTTACAAAACATATTTCTTGTTCCAGTGAACCCTGTGGCTTTGGTGGGGAAGCCCATAATGAAATGACATATTCTCCTCCAGGGATAAAAGATCTTGGATTGGTAATTTTTTCTGCTTTTGTCTTGTTCTAGTTCCTTTCCTCACACCATCAAATCCCCATTTGCTATTCCCATAGCCAAGAGATTATATGGGCTCACTGTGGCAGTGGCAACAGCAACTTATCCCGTGTTTCCATTTGTGAAGTGCAGGTGTCCTTCTTAAGCATAATCATTTGGATCCAGATGATGTCATCAGATTCTTGTATTAACATCAAGGAGGCACTGGAGCGTGTGCTGCAGTCACGTTCATTGATGGTCCTGATGACCATCCTTACTTAGTCACTTGGTACACACTGCCGAGGATCCGTCCTCCATGTTTAGTTGCCGTTTTAGTAGGCCATTCATTTATGCAATTGATCCTGTTGCAGCTGGGTTATTAGGTAACTGAAAATGCCAATATACGTTCAAATTCTGAGGCCATTCTTGTGCCATGTGGTCAGCAAAGTGTGGTCCCTTGTCCTTGTCTATGTCCTGAGGGGTCCATGGCCACACATGGTGCCAAGCACTTGAAAACAATGCCTGGTTGCCTTCTGTGCGGCCCTTCTGCAAGCGTATGCCCATAGTCATTCTGTGCATGTGCCTGCAGTGCCTGTAGCCTTCTGATGGGAGCAAGGGCCCAATGAAGTCAACCTGCCACTGTTGTGCACATGGCCAACCTTGAGTTACCCACCCAGTCACCTGAAGACTTGGCTATAGCTGCTTCATGGCACAGGCAGAAGAGCAAAAGTCACATACACATGAGTATCTTGGTGAGAGCCCCAATTGCTTTGCTGTGGGCTAAAGAGCTTCCTCTCCCTGGGGCCTGCCAAACCAGTCATATTTTCAGTTGCCACATCTTGCAGCCATCTAATATTAGTTAGGTCATCTGCTTCTGGATTGCCTGATGGAGAAGCATGGTTGTATGCTACCATGTGATACATAATCAAGTCTGACAGTCACTTCCAAATGTATTTCCATCTTCTTCACTTCCTTCTGTAGCCATGACCAAGGTCCTAAGGGAACTCATTTATTGCCCTGCTGCTGCCACAACATCCACTCAAATGCATCAGGGGAGCTAAAAACATCCTGTCTATAGTGGTTCTTGGACGAATGTGCCCAGGACTTATAATTGTTCTACAACCTTTTTTGTTAACAAGAAAAGGCTTCAAGGTGCTCAAGTTCCCAGATCCACTAGGCTTTCATTTTTATTAACTTATATAATAGTTTCAACCTTTGTGCTAAGTTTGGAATGGTAAAATGCCAGCATCTCAATATTCCCGAGAAAATCTGTGACTGTTTGATAGTAGGGGAAACTTGGACTTCATCTACAACAACAGACGATCCCAAGGACTTGGCAGACAACATGAGTCTTTGTAATTCTAAGGAATTGACAGCCCATTCTCTCTCTTGGAGATGCACTATCACCCTTTGTACTCCCTTCTGTAGGTGGGGAGAAGACTCAGAATTTAACATCACATCAATATAATGAAACATTGATAGTATGTCAGGTTTTGTCCATGGGACCAGAGAAACCACTGCCACATCCCTTAATAAATGGCTGGGCTATGTACATGTCCTTGGGGAAGGACATCAAAAGGCCATTGTTGCCTTTCTCATATGAAAGCAAATTTCTCCTGGCTTTCCTTACTGAGCCCCTGGTGATTCCTTTGCCTTCTCTTTCTTCCACGTTCTGATCCTTACTCCATATCTCTAGTTTCTTATTCTTTTCAGTTTTTCCCACATTAACTAGAGTCTGTTCTGCTGGAGAAATAGGAAGGCCCGCTAAAGGACCCCAGAATGATCCCAGAGCCCCACAGCATTGCCCTGAAGCTCTTTGGAGAATGGTATCCTTCATTCTTGCTGTGAATGTCTATC